CATGAAGAATTGCTAGCAAATCCTGCGGTTGGCCAGTAACTTCAATACTGGAGATCACTAAGAGTGCCCCTGATTCATTTTCCTCTTCCGGTTCTTTAACTGTACATACAGACATGTGCACTGGAAAGGCAGGCACTGATGTGCGTGGCTTGGTAACAATGGAGAAGGCTAGTCTGGGATTCCCAATAGTGTATAAATTTGATCAGGTTACATTGTTTTCCTCAGCATCTGATTGTATTACACCTTGTATTACAGATTCCTTCTACAATCAGGTCTATCCATCAGGATAAAATCCTAGCACTTAGACAGCAGACACAGTTCTTGTGGGAGGCTTATTTTTCTTCAGTTGAGAAGATTGTATTGACTACACTAGAGGTGAGTAACTGTTTTCAGATATTAGTCAGAGCAGAGACATTCCCTTGTATGTCTGCCATACTCTGGGCTCAGCTGGTGTGAGACCTTGGCTTTCATGACACGTGATTGGTCACTGGAAAAACCTTCAGTGACTTGATAACTTTTCTCCCCTAAGGAAATATTTTCTTTATTATTGGACTCCACATAAGAAAGCTGACATGGTGATAAATGGGAATCATCTGACACATGGAAAAGTTGTCTTGTGCGATCCTGGCTTCTCAAGGCTTTACATCTTATGAATCACTATTCTTGTCATTCATGGTGAATATGGGTCTTTAAGGAACCTTTCTAGAGCTGACTTTTGAAAAAATATTACTGTAAAGCTCCTTTTCTGCCGTTCCTTCTTAACATTTTGATGCCCTTTGACAGATCTCTTGTTCTGGTTAAAGTAAAGTAGTAGTTTTTGAAGTCACCTGTGACTTATCCTATATGCACATTTCCAAGGACAGAAAAAAGAAAGCCTAGATTATCTATATGAGATTACCAGGATAATAATCATATATTAGACTCTACAGCTATTAATGGTGGGAGCCCTCAGGAGCGGGGAGAATCCTTCCCAGATGGAGGAAGGAAATGGCGGGTGAGAAACAGTCTAGTGAAAGGTTCTTCAGACACAGAACAGGCACCACAGTTTGAAGGACCACACTTAATTTAAAAAAGTGTTCCCACAATTTTGCCCACAAGCTTTTGTATGTCGAGTACATTATACACAGTGTTGCTGGTACAGACACTTCAGTTTGCAAGTGTAGGTTACATTTGTACATGCCAGTGCTTTTTGCATTCACATCCACGTTTGGGCACAAACAAACAGTTCCAGATTCTCTGCTGTGTTGAGATGGCGGCAGATTGGAGATGCTGTTGTCTGGGTCATGGCCCACAATTTAGGTTGCCTGTGGCTGCTCTAACTTGAGCCAGATGAGAGGCAGTCAATAAAGGACTGTCCTCCAGTTATGGACAATCAGAGTGACTTGTACTTCACTCTCTTCAGCTTTATCCCAACATACCCCTTTTGCTGAGGGCTGTAGAGGAGGAGCTGTAGGAGAAGACTACACTGGCACCATAATCGCTGCGATCTCCCCTATGTTTGGGGTGTCCCCAGCTGTGGAGTTTCATTCAGCTTCCATTCCCTATTTACTATTCAGAGGAGAAGAAACTAGTCCTAAGACTCGCAGGGACAGCTTTAGTATGGAACTAAGGCATCCTACAGGATGTGGCCGCAGCTGTCAGTTGACTAAGAGAGTAATATCTCTAGTTAAGTAAAGATCAAGAAAAATACCTGCCAGCAGCCCTGAGCTTCAGAAGTGTGAAGAATAGGTAACTAGAACATGGAAATATATGGAAAGTTTAATTAACTAAGTCAGGTCTGTCTTACCTCTTTAATTTTTTAATTCAGGGCTCTCAGAAGCAGTTTTCTGAAGGGAAGACAAATTCTGCTCAATAGAAATTAATAAGCTTGCTGAGTTGCTCATTCTGGAGTCCAGCATCTGGTAGGAAAGGCTCTGGGTTGCTTGCTCTCAAAAAAGAGAACGCAATTTTATTTTTAGGGGTCAGAAGCTGATATAGGCAACTCTGGTTTAAACCTGTTTTGGAGAATACGGTCTGGATGCCGGGGCGGGGGGGGGGATTTCTTTTGGTGAGTACTATGTATGTCTACTGTAACAACAATATTTTGATGAGCCTGGGTATCATTTAGTCACCTTCCATCTGGACTACAGCAATGCGATATATCTGGGCATGAAGCCATCAGCCGTTAGGAATTTCCAACTAGTAGAGATCACTGCAGCATGTCTTCTCAGCAGCACAGGCTACTGCAAACACTTCACACCTGTCCTTTACCAGCTTCCCATAGAACCTCTAGTCACGTTCAGGTTCTTCCTCCTTATCTTTAAAGGTTTCAGTGGTCTGAGTCTATCATATCATCCCCCAAAATTCCCAGATTAAAACCTTACTCCATGACTCTGCTTCTCTGCCACAGCATTAGGTAGGGAAACTTGTTTGTGCAGGAAACAGAGCAGAGACTGGGACATGACCTCTCCCGGGAATGAAGGCCCATCCCAGATCTCCTCATCTTCCATTCCAAAAGCACCACCTGCTTCTCTGACACGTTCTTCACCAAGACAAACATGTATCAGAGTGGACATTTGAAAAACAAAACACTGTGCTGCATACACAATTCTCCCCTTGGGAAGAAGAGGAGAGAGAGAGTACAAACCACATGAGACAGATGTTTTATGCACTGCTGGAAGGCACTAAGATATAATGGCGATAAGCACAGTCAAACAAAATGTACAACAGAAGTAGTATGTGGGAGAGAAGGGACAGAAATACTTTGTGAACAACAGGCTTCACAAAGAGAAGTCAGATCTAGCCAAAGTTCCTATCCTCCTCATGTTTTAAAACTGCCTAAATTTTATAATCAGTTTTAACTGTTACCCCTATTTAGAAATCTCTTCAATGTATGTAGCAAAGCACTGTATATTCTGTATTTTGAACTGATTATGCCTAGATGTCCTCTCTTTATCCTTTTCTGTTCCTGTTCCCTCAAGTTGTCCTTTCTCCACCCAGTTGCTGCAGGCAGTAATAACATTTGTGCTCACTAGAAGTGCTGTAAATTAATTTTCCATGCGTTAAATGTAATATATTCCACAGGTCAGTTCTCCAGCCTGTTGAGTAACAGTATCAGTAAGATTTGTATGCCTGACATGCAATGAAGGTTGCATATGTTGCATGGCATCAGAAGCCTGTTTCAAGTTAGATCTGTTTCTTTCTTTCTCCTTCTCTCTCTCTCTCTTTCTCTGCACATTGAAAAGCATTGAATGCGAGCCATGTGTTTCCCCTGGAGCACTGTTGGCTACCAAAGCAGTGGAAAATGGAACAGTCTATGAAAACCTACTGACCATGTAAACTAACAGACTTCTTATCTGTTCGTGCATCAATTCTGAGAAGAGGAGGAGTTCTTTATTAAATGCTAGAAAATGCGTATAGTCCAGTTTCTCTCTATTTAATGACCTAAATTACAGAGAGGGGAAAGGTGGTCATTTTCTCCCCTACATCCCAACCTAAAAGACACCATGAGGAAAGTATGCCACCTTAAAATCCTTCAATAGAAATGGCCAGACACAGCTTTCTCAGCAATGGAAGCTAGCTTACTCGTATGCAGTATTGAGACCCCTATTTCACACAAATAGTATTATTAACTTAATGTTAAGATTACTCCTGTGAGTTTCCTGCCAATACAATCACAAATTCCAGAAAAACAGCAGCTTATGACAGCTCTTGTTCACAGGCTGGATCACCCAAAGCAGCATATTACCCCAAGACTTGTGATTCTGCTCCCTTTAAAAATCAAGCAATTGCTCCTCCTACACCCCTACAGATGTGGGTTGTATTTTTCAGGTTTGTGTGCATATGTATCCTTCATCACTTCGTAGGTTTAAGGCCAGAAGGGCCATTAAGTCATCCGTTCTGACCGCCTGTTTGACATGAACTGCTAAGATTGATCTTGATGCCCCTATGTCAAGCCCAAAGACTTTAGTTAGACTAAAGAATTCCTGTCCTCAGGAGACTAAAACAGTTGCGAGTAGGCAAAGAGCATAAAAAAAGCAAGGTGCTAACAGTTTCCTGCAATGGCAGGGAATTGATTAAGTCAGACACACCCAGAGAATCCCAGCAGGCAAGCATGCCCAGTCAGCAGATGAAGGGAAAAATTCATGTAGGATCCTGCCAATCTGACATGGGAGAATATTCCTTCTCCATCCCAAATTGGTACAGCTCTAAGCATGTGAGCAAGATGTTCCAGCCAGGCATCTAAGAGAATTGCCTGTACTAACTCAGAGTACCAGACCAGTCAGCCCTGTTCTCAAGGTGTGGCCAATCTGATTTATGCTTACAATTTACCATGAGTCCACCTGCACGCCCTGCCAGGCTAGGCCAATGTTTAATTACTCTCCCTGTTTGGAAATTGTGTCCTACTGCACAATTAAATCTGTCAAACCTCATGTTCCAGCCATTTGGTCTTGTTATGCCTTTACCATACAGGCAGGTTAAAAAACACCCCATTATCAGATCCTTTTTTTGTGTGCAAGTACCTTTATACACTGGCTGCCTATCTCCAAGTAAGCAAAAGATAGAGCTAGGTCTTGTATGATGCAGGAAGTGAGATTGTAATGGTCCTTTCAGACTTTAAAACCTTGGAATATAAATCCATTGCACTTGCCAAATATAGAGACAGTTTCCTGCTTACAGTAATAGTTGCCCAAATTTCTATCCATATTGGATGAAGTGGAAACTTACATAACTATGACATGAAATGTATCTCATGTAATTAGTCACTTTGTTGAATATTGACATTATTTTTAATTAACCAAAAAAAATCCCTTAGCCCAATCTGATGTGCTGCCAGTCTCTGTGTTTTTAAACATTCTCATTATCTCAAAAAAAAAAAAAAAAAAAAAGCCCCTCTTTGCAATTCCATCCTTGACTAATTATTTCATGCAAGTCGTGTATAGTAAACTCTACAATGAACTAATCAGGCTTACAAGTGACAAGTGATTTTAAATGGAAAAATATTTTACTTTAAATGCAGAATGTAATGAATTGCAAGGTCCCTGTGTCCACGGAGCCTAATGAGGTAGTTTGAATACTGTTATAAATGGCCCTCTTCTGCTGAGATTGTGCAGAAGTATCCAGGTTCAGTATCATCTTAAAAAGAGAGATTAAACAGTAATGCCAGATAATTTTTGTCTTTCCACTTCTTACAAAATGCATGGTGATTGCAGTCTGTTGAAGCCACTGAAGTCTGTACCGATCCTTACTGCTACCTAGTTAAAAACTGTTACCTTTCTTATTTTCCAGATTATTCAGGACAGAATATTTAAGCACATATCACGTAACAGCTTAATATGGAACAAACATCCTGGAGGGTTATTTGTACTGCCACAGTATTCCTCATATCTGGGAGATTTTCCTTACTACTATGCTAATCTAGGTGAGTAAATTCTTTCTGTTGCACCTCACTGAAATTGGGTTATCACTGATTTCTGAATGGTTTGGGGCAAATGGTTTTCCTGTAATATGCTGGTAATACTTTTGTGTTCCCATGTCTCTGCCCTTCAAAACACAACCCCTCCTTGCTTAAGCACTGGTGAATATGACACCCTCTAGTGGCAGCTGTGTATAGAGACTGTTGTAAGAAATCCACGCTCTCTTCCTAAGTAACTGTAGGTGACAATTCAGCTGCTTTCTATGTTGTGGCCATGACAAAGATGAAATGAATTGTGTTTTTTGTACTCCTTGTCTAGCACCACTTGGCAATACTTCAAGATAAAAAAGAAGCGACTTACAGTAACGGTTGGTCTTTGAGTATATTGTTAATATAGATTCACCCTCCCTACCTTCTCTCTCCACTTCCTCAGAGTCTCTTTATAGACTGACTGAGTGAAGGAGCCAACAAGGAGCTGGTCCATGGTTCTTTATATAATCACAGTCTAAATATTGAATTCATAGATTCATAAATCTTAGGTCCTGGAAAGGACCTTACATGATCACCAGGTCTGGCCCCCCTGCACATGGGCAGAAAAGACTAGGGCAAGGGAATATGTCTGAAGACTCAACATCACACCTTAACACCCAGTTCCTCTTTGTAGAGATATGCCCCTAGGAACATGGTTCTGTCCTGGAGAACTGCCTGAAGAACCTGTCTCCCAGCCTTAAGGAAGTGTTATCCATTGTAACATGGAAGAAAAAGGATTCAACAACAATTTCAGTGTGTAGGATGAAGGGGGAGATAACTAGGATACCAAGGATATGAGCAAGCATGAGACTAGAAGATGGTAATGTTAGCAGCCGTAGTGAAGGAAGAGCAGATGGCCAGATGGGCCTGTGATATTGCAGAAGGACTATCAAACTGAAAAGTAGGAGTGGTTGGAAGCTGTTCAATACCGGGCAAGTAGAATGCTTAATCAGTGAAAATAACAGTTGGAGCCCTGTGTGTGCGTGATGATGCTTTGGGATAAGATGTAGAGAAAAAAGAAAGTGACCATGAGCATAATTCTGAGGGTTCTCGGAAATGGGGAAAAAAGGAAGCACCACTGAGACTGATGGAGCTGTTGGTGAGGTAGAAGGGTAGCATCAAAACTTAGGGCTGATTACTGGCATCAGCATAAAAACAGATCCAGTTGGATGAAGGCTTGGGAAGAATTTCTTGACTTGGTCAGAAGTACTTTACTGATGAACTTGGTGAGGATCATTTCCACAGAGTGATGGGGAAGAAAGAAAACGATTGCAAGCTTCCAAGAGGGCGTCAGAGAGGGGATGTCAAAGCAGTGGTTGTAGTTTACAGAAGTGTGTTCAAGGAGCTTGGAAATGAATGGGAAGAGCAACCTTTTTGAAGCCCCAGGTACTGATAGAGAAAGGGTACCAAATAAGATGGTCTGAGCCAACATGGCAATTTCTGTGTGCTTGGGTCTTTTCTGTCTCTCACTTCTATGATCTGTGCTACACAGGGTAGTAGTTTTGTCTTCATTAAGTTTGCGTCCTTTTTCATTTTAGGTCTGAAGCCTCCCTCTAAGTTCACTGCAGTTATCCATGCAGTAACTCCCTTGGTTTCCCAATCTCAGCCCGTGCTGAAACTCCTGGTTGCTGTAGCCAAGTCCCAGTACTGTGCACAGGTGAGCAGCACTACTTGACAGTTACTTTCCTTTTAAAACATCCACCAAATAAAAATCCCCCCTGACTTCAGTTCTTCTCATGGCTCCTTATTTCCTGACCCTGCTTTATATGATGGACTTTTTCTTTGAGTTCTTTGCAGTGACCTCAGCCAATATATGTGGGGAATAAAGCTGAACTTTCATGCGAGAGGAAAACGGGTGGTCACAAAAGCTCTGATTTATTTAATAAAGGGAAGCAAAATAATTGTTGTGTTTCAAAAATACAGGGGTTGCATGTGCTGTAAGTACCAAAAGGCTCAGTAGGCCTCAAGCACTATTGGCTGCCCTGCCTCCCATTGTAGTTTTGATCTTGGCAGTTTTGGGACTTCAGACTGCCTGTGCTGTTATCTTAAGGAGGTAGTAGGAGTACCCTCTCATCTGAAGAGGCACAAGTGCTTTAGTATTCAACATGTGCCAAAATAAACCAGTGACATCCTTCTGAGTGAGGCTGTAGACTCCCTGGCTTCTTGTTGAGTTTGCGTGCATTTGAGTGTGTATATTTTATTGTCAGTGCGGGCGAAATTTCTGAGGGATGTTATTTTTATGTTGCTTAGTTATTCTGAGATTTGTAACTTGCATTCAATGAGAGGTAGTTGGCCATTTTTGTCTGAAGTCATGCAGAAAGCAGGGTGCACTGAGATGCACCGTAGTCTCAGACTAGTCTATAAGGGCACCTACACACGAGCAGCGAGGCTGCTTATACACACTGTAATTAATCGATGAATCGAGTCTGCTGGAGTATGGTAATTACAACGCTCCAGCAGACTCCAGCATCTCATGTATCAGCATCCCCACATTTAAAAATGGCATTCGGCGCACTTTAAAGCTTGTTTGGCGAGCTTTAGTTAAAGCGCCCTGCCGCCATTTTTTAACTGCAGGGACACTGATACATGAGACACTCTGGGCGCTTTAATTAGAGTGGCTCTTAGAGTTGATGCAACTAAAGTGCAAGTGGAGCAAGTGTATAAATGTCCTAAGATGCATCTCTGTTTTGCCTTACATTCAGTGGTTCTGTTTGGTCCTCAAGGTCCTGAAAGTTTGAATAGCGACAGGCAGGAACATGGCCATGTATCTAATCCTGCAGGTCAATATTTCTTTCAGATCATTGTTTTATGGAACTGTGACAAACCCCTCCCAGCCAAACACCGCTGGCCTGCCACTGCTGTGCCTGTCATCGTCATCGAAGGGGAGAGCAAGGTAGGTGGAGAGAAGTACCAATAAGGATGGTCTGTGTTGTGTGAAGGGGACTAGTGTTCATTTTTCCAAGTGGAGAGGATGCTTTGTCTGCCATTTGCTGGTGGGTATTTTGTAGTCAGCTGGTGTGCAGTGCCCCTTCCTTTACCTCCAACTCCTGCACTGGCACGATTGCAGACCTGGCATTTGATGCATGAGGTTCAGACTCTTGGAAGCTGTCAATTGCTGATCAATAGAGCTGGTGTGAGATTGGTGACAGGGACGCAATTTATGCTGGTGCATTAAATCAGTGATAGACCTCAGTGCTAGACTGAGCATTCTCGGGGAAGATTTGGAGATGCTGTTTCTGGCCTCAGGTTGAATATTAGTTTCGTGCAACAATTGCAGGGAGCGTTCCTCACCAGGTTGTGAGACTACTGTTCCCATGGTTCACATATACACAGTAAACGTACCTACCCAGAACTGATGTACTCAGGCGTGCTACATCGCTATTGAAGTATCTCTTTGTAAATGCGAGCCATGTAGCCACATCTCTGCAGTGCTTTAGACTGGTTGAATACCAGTGCCAATTAGCCCATTCCTATGCTGACAAGCCGCTCACAGCAGTGCATGAAAACAGTTACACTTCTGTTTTGGGAGGTCACCAGGTGGAGCAGTTCAGTGTGCTTGAAGGCACTGCAGAAAGATATAGTTAATGTGTAAACCTGGGGGTAGAGTGCTCCATCCAGTGAGGAGGCTGGAAGGCACAGGAGGAGGGAGCCAGGATGATCCTGGGATTCAGGTACACTTGAGTGATCAGGAGGCAACGAAGCGGGTGAAAATGAATTTGCTCTGAAATGATGCAGTTTTATTTCTGCTTTTCCCTTGCACAGGGTCAGTGAAGAATTGGACTCATTCTTCACACACAGTCTCTAATGCTGGTATTAAAAGGCAGAGCAGAGGCAACTGGGTTAGACCTCTCTGTGATTTTTATCATCTGCCTCTCTAGCTCTGTATTTCCACTGTGAAGTTTTTAGCTGCTTTGGCTTTAAAATCCTATTTTGAATGTATAGGCCTTGTCTTTGCTGTTTTCCCCAGTAGGCTTAACCAGGGAAAAGTCAGGGCATCACTAAGCTGGCAGCTAATAGCTCTTGCCTTGGTCACTGGACATGTAAACAGTATCAGGAGAATTGCTGCAGGGCTAAGATAGGCTGTTGAAATTTCTGAGCCTTGTGAACATTATGGGTTTATTTTCTTTCTTTTTGGAAAGCCTGGGCAGCAGGAAGAGAGGAAGAAAATGTCCTGACCAGTTCTTAGCATATATAAAAACAGACCTTGGAGTTCTTTAGATTACAAACCAGTCTCCTGAGTACACAGAGGTGTGTTTATAGTGGACAGTGCCTCGTCTCTAATATCACATCATGCACCAGATGGCTTCTTAAACAGGGAAGCTGTTTGTTTATCCCAGCCTTGCAGAGTCAACTCCCCGCAGTCCAGAGTCCCTAACAAGGGGCCTGCTTTTCCTATGCCTACTTGGCATCTTGCAGGGATCCATCAGGCAAGGATTTCAAAGGCTTGATCTAAACATCTTCACACCCCTGTGATAGAACAGAATAGATTTGCACCCGTTTTGCAAGCGACAGTACTGAAATACAGATGAAAATAAGTGAATAATCCTGCTCAGACTTGAGCCTCTTCCGTATTTGGGATTTAATCATTAAAAAAGTCTGAGTAGTTAAGCGCATGAGATTTTTCTCTCATCTTTACTGACTTATTTTCCTTCCTATATTAGTGCCCATTAGAAAACCTCTACAGAAATCAGCCTTGTAACTGGCACTTATTGAAAGCTTGTGAAAATAAACAGAGCCCACTTCAAGGCCTCTCCTTTAAATGGAAAGCTCCCCATGGGAATAACCTTAGCTCCCAGTGAGTTTGCCTCCTCCTCTGCAAGTAGGACCCCCCATGACAGCTAGCTTCCACCCAAGCAGTGGAGCTGTTGACCAACAGAGTGGGACTCACGAGTGCAGGCAGCAGATCTTTCCCAGGATCCGGCCCTCGGCAATGGAACTTGATTCTGAAAGAGATGCATGGACTTGACCATGTGTTCCCAAAGCTAATTGCAAACCTTGTCTCTGTCATTGCTCTCGTCGAATGATTTCTTCACGTAAGCACTGACAGCGTATGATAGAGAGACAGACCTCTTGGCTGTCTGTCATATTCACATTTACATTCATTTATACAGATGAACAAACAGCCTACAGACTAATCAAGTCATTTTTCCGCCGGGCTGGAATGGAAGGGAGAGATGATAAGAGAGGGGGAGAGAAAGAAAAGTACTTATTTCCATTTTTCAATCCTCAGAAGTTACGTGGGCACTGGTGGTGAGGAGAAACACATACGTGCATAAATGGATTTCTCCATTTCGTTGCAATTTTTTCCATCTTTCATCTATTCCCCAGTGAAGTGAGATATGCCTTATGTTGGTATTTAAAGCCTGGTCTACACACAGATTTTGTTCTAGTACAAAAACAACAGTAAGATATCTTTTTTACTGATATGCACGTACCAGCATGATCCCTCATGTAGATGCATTTATTTCAGTATAAAAGTACCTTATAGCTGTACAGTTTATTCCCTTCCTGTGTGGAAATAGTCACAGAAGTGTAAAGTACTTTATACTGATGTAAATACATCCATAAGAAAGGGGTTGTATTTTTGTACAGTGCTATGGTCAAAGTGGTTTATGGAGACAGTGTCTTGAGATGCACTCTGGCTCTCCACCATTGCTCAGGGTGAGGTGAAAAGCCTCTCTCAGCACCTCCTTCTCCTTTATCTTTACCCTCTGGGAGGGAGGGTGGGATGGCTTTAGCTACTACACAAGTGTCCTCCCTAAAGAAACCCTACATATGTCTAGATCTCAGTGGATACAGTTATAGTTTGAGTTGCACAGAAAGGCAGAGACACAGATCTGTTCAGAAATTAATTCCTCAGATACAAAATATAAGCTGATTTCTGGGCTGATGGAAAAGGACAGCCTTTCACTCTTGAGCTGAGAAATCCTTCCTATCATATAAAGATGCACAATGTGCCTCAGATGGAAAGAAATAAGAATGAAAAATAAAATGGAATATGCAGCAAGGATCTTTTTTTTTGCTTTCTCTTGGAAATGAGTCTGTCAAGTGACTTTTTTTGTTGTTTACCCTCACCCTTGAAACCCACAGGTTATGAGCAGCCGCTTCCTACCCTATGACAACATAGTCACGGATGCAGTGCTAAGCCTTGATGAGGACACTGTGCTTTCAACCACTGAGGTAAGACTCTCCTCCTTGAAAGATGTGAATCTCACCCTGAGAACAACCAGATCCACCTTTCTTCTTAGTACCTGGTTCCAGAAAGTGTGTGCACTAAAATGTCTCGCTGCATACCCCAGGTTTTAATATATTCAGTTGTTTCAGAAGCCTTTCCATCACCTGCCATCACAGGAACATTTCTCCATAGTTAATTGGCTCACCATTAGCATATGGCTCTTCCCGTCTTTATTATTTTAGTAACATAGCTTCAGGCAGGTGTAGACAGCCAAGAACAGCCTGTTTGTGCAGTATCATCTTAGTGATCACAGTTTTTCCTTTTCCAGGTAAGCCTGGGTGGGGTATTTCTATGATGGGACATTACTGTTTCTTCTAAACATGAGACTGCCTCAGCACAAGCATGTTGATTCTTTCTCCGTGCACACACATGCACATTCACTTGATGTTCAGTATACTGGGGAGGGGGCAGATACCTGGTACTTCAGATGGTTGAAGCATTTCTGCCGAGAGCAAGATTGCACTAAGCGAAGCTGAGAAAAGAAAGACACTGCAGAAAACCAATTTTTACAACTGGGATGAGTATTGATTTCTGGAGCCTCTTTCTGAAAATCACTGGGGAGACCAGTGACAGTTTATATAGAAGTGCAATATATTGGAAATACATTATTAATGGTGGCTATTGAAAAACTTGGATTTTCTTTTCTGCTTTCCATTCCTTCTCTCCCTTCCCCTTCAAATTCATGATCATTTTTTTTTCTCCTGACCTATAAGACTTCCTGTGCTATTCTCATAGCCCTTTAGCTGATACCATTAGTGCTTATGTTAGGTCAGGGGAACCCAAATTTGGCCCAACTGAGTACTGTATTGGCAACTTACCATAAACCCTAAGGGCACACCTGATCTCTTTTTTAAATTGCAGCTATAGAATCATAGAAAATAGGGCAAGGAAGGACCTCAGGAGGTCACTTAGTGCAACCCTCTGCCAAACCATCCCACACAAACATTTGTCTAACCTGCACTTAGGCATTTCCAGTAACAGTGATTCTGCAGTTTCTCTCAGTAATCTGTTCCAGTGCTTAACCATCCTCATAGTTAAAAAGTTCTTCCTAATAGCTAACCTTAATCTCCTATGTTGCAATTTAAGCCTATTAATTCTTGTCCTGTACCCTGTGGACACAGAACAATTGAGCACCATCCTCTTTATAACAGCCCATTTTGTATTTGAAGACCATTATCAAATCCCCCTTCAGTCTTCTTTCAACTAAATAATCTTATTTCTGCCAACCTTGCATCACAGATCATATTTTCAAGACCTCTACTCAACCCTGTAGTTCTCTTCTAGTATGGACTTTCTGTCTCTAGGAGGCTTGAGTCTTAGCCCTTCAGTTGACCCACATGGAGGCCACTGTAGTCCACATTGCTCCTCTGTTGACAAAGGGATGGGTCTAGATTGGTATCTAGGCCAAACCTTGGCAATTCCTGGCAGATACAGATGAGTGCAGATATTTTGTAATGATGCCCATAAAAACCACCAACGCTCAAATAAATTTCCTCTGACAGTTAGTAGAAGGTTGCTGCAATTAGATTGTTCCTCAAGACAGAATTGGAGTTTCAGTCCCACAGAATTTGAGAAAATTTCCAGTGATTCAGGAGGGCTGAGATTTTTTCTCTGCAAGTCTCCTACAAGATACAGCACTGGCCCACTTTGATAGTCCCCTCAGGATTCATTTTACTCTATCGTTTCATCTCAGTCATTGATCTTTTTTGGGGGGAGGGGGTGTGGAGGCTTATGTTTGAGCAAATAATTTGTAAAGAATTATTGGGTTTTGTTTTTATTCAGTTCAGCCCCATTTTCTACTGATTCAACCATTTGCTTGTTTATGTGAAATGATTCCCACTTTTCTTCACTACCTTTCCACTGCTATGAATTAAACAATGGAAATATTCAAAACTCGTCTCACATACATTAGATTTACTTTTGGCTATCGTTAGTGCATAAATTATTATTAGTACTTCTTGTGAGCATTCCCCCTCATGAAGCCCAAGTGTCCATGGATGCCAAGCATAAAAAACTCAAAGGTCAAGTTGAAATTTGTTTTCGGATTTGAGGCGTATTCACTGTTTTCCACTACAGGCTCAGCTTTAGTGATAGCAAACATTTTTCATTCGTCATGAAATGGTGCACAATTCATTTTGTTTTCATTCCTAAGGCTAACAACCCAAAGTGGTCCGTCACATGGTGAGAGGGACATATGTAGGGGAAGTAATTAGAAATCAGCATGGGTTGGGAATGATTTAGGGATTTAAGAGACTGGAAGCTCGGTTGCTTTCTCCTGATCATTAGCTGAGTGGTAATGCTGCTTAATAGTATCTAGGATCAGTTGCTTTTTAAGGAGATGTAATGTAGCCCTTGTTTTCTCATAGGGAACTCTGTTTGCTTTAATGCCTCTCCCTGCTACCAAGCAGATATTTAAACGATACGTGAGGCAGGGCATTAGATGTAGTTAGTTTCTTGTTTATCTTCTTTAGACAAGTTTGAGAATCTCAGGAGAAAATATATGTCAAGTTTCATGGGAAAGACCTTTATGGCAAAAACCTTTATACTTTCATGTGTTAGCGGTTTGGATCAGACCACAACTGCTACAAGAATAGCTGTTTTATGTGCCGTGTCTTTTTCAAGTTGTTTCCAGGCAGTTTAAAACAACTAGAAAGAAAAGAACAAGGCTCCAACTTCATATTGCAGTAGGCATGTGTTTCTTTTGTTTCATCAAATAACTTGCAAATGAGAGAGATCTGATACTCAAGGCAAGAGATGTTAACTCTTCTAGGATGCTGTAGCTAATATGTTTCCAGAATAGCACTGCTGGAAGGGTCAGCCAGAGTTTGTCATCTTGAGTTTTGGGTGAATCTAGCCTGAGCTTCAAGCTCTGGGGAGGAGTTTATGGTTGTGTGTGTAATCTGGGTATAACTAAGTTACTCTGCATGGTTTGGACCTGGACGAATAGAGCTGGCTTTTGCTTTTTTTAAGAAATAGAATTAATGGATACCAGAAATTTTCAGTTAAAACATATGGTATGGACACGTGTATATTTGGAGCCTTTTCAAAAGGGGAGCTGCTGATTAGGTGCGCATGGTTACTTTTAAGTTCTAACAGCCACTGGGGACAGGCTGGAAATGATACAAATGTAGCAAAACCACTCCAGCTTGAACCTGGATGTTTGTATGGATCCTGGCTTGTCCACACATAACCCTTAGCATGCAACAGCTGCTGAGAGGAAGAGTTTCCCTTCCCTGTCCGAAACGGCTCCCAATCGAATAAACACACCTGCACGTCTTCCCAGATATGTTCTTACCCATCTCAAACTGAACTTTGGGGGTAGAAGAAATGATTGGGTGGATGAAATGAGGGAAAACATAACCCTCAAAAGTATCACGTACCTCTTCTTCCACTTGCTGGGGTCCCAGCTTCTTGAGCTCCACAACTTATTCAATGCTCAGAAATTTGAGATAATAAAATATAGCAGAGAGGACATAATAGTGTTGCCAGCTCCCACAGTTTTACTGTAAGTCTCACAATAGAAAGTACTTTTTTTTCTTCAAGCCCCAGCTCCTGGAATCATGTGAATACATAGAAATCTCATCCTTTATTTTTTAAAGTAAAGTTCAACCCTTATAGTTGCAGAGAAAGGCTTAAAAGTACAGCCCAAGATTCAAATATCACACAGGAAAATATAGTTTCATAGTTTCATAGTTTTAGGGTCGGAAGGGACCTAATAGATCTTCTAGCCCGACCCCCCGCCAGGGGGGTCGGGCTAGACCCCCTCTTTCCAGCCTCTTCTTAAAGATCCCCAGGGTAGGGGCCAGCACCACCTCCCTTGGAAGTTGGTTCCAGCTCCTAGCCGCCCTAACTGTGAAGTAGTTTTTTCGGATGTCCAATCTGTACCTCCTCTCCATCAACTTGTGCCCATTACTCCTTGTTATGCCAGCGTCTCCCCCAAACCCTTCTGGTTCCCCCTAGTGAGTTTATAGACGGTCACCAGGTCCCCCCTCAGCCTTCTCTTGTGGAGGCTGAATAGGTTCAGGTCCCGCAGTCTCTCACTGTAGGGTCTGCCCTGTTGTCCCCGGATCATGCGGGTGACCCTCCTCTGGACCCTCTCCATGTTGTCCACATCCCTCCTGAAATGGGGCGCACAGAACTGGACACAATACTCCAGCTGCGGCCTGACCAGCATCGCATAGAGGGGGAGGATCACCTCCCTGGCTCTACTCGAGATGCACCTATGAATGCAATCTAAATATATTTATTTATTTCAATATGAAAATCTTATGATTTTTGAGCCAATGTTTGAGTTTGGTGTCTAACTTCTGATTTATAAATGCTTTGTGTTGGCAGGTAATGCTTAAAAGTGCAATTTATGACATGGCTATTACCACCACCTATGTCACACACAAGTATAAATGCACCCACCTTGGGTAATCTTTGCATTACCTGAAAAGGTTTAATGTGTAAAGGGCATGCCTTCCAAATGTTAAAGCAGCACTTTAGTGCTCAAGACTTCTTTTAACAGAAAGCATTATAATGTGCATAATTACAGGGCAAAATGTCAAGCAGTCAGTTTAATTTACTGATGAATACACAGAATTAATGTTTTGCAACAGTTCCAAGATTTTGAATTATGAATTAGTGGCATGGTAATATTTTGTTTTGTTGACATGCATTGAAACTGTTTGATAATTCATTTGACGGTGTCTTTACCTGCAGGTGGATTTTGCCTTTACAGTATGGCAAAGCTTTCCAGAGAGGATTGTAGGGTACCCTGCTCGCAGTCACTTTTGGGACAATACTAAAGAGAGATGGGGATATACATCCAAATGGACTAATGACTATTCCATGGTATTGACAGGAGCTGCTATTTACCACAAGTAAGAAACTGAAACATCTTTCTAAGCCTGTATGACTTAGTTCATCATCTTTTTATTTTAAAAACAAAGTTTCTGTTGCCAGGTAATGCTTAAAGATGGAATTTATCATATGGCTATTACCACCACATGTGTCACACACAAGTTTCTGCTGGGAAGAAAAAGAACATTCAATTGAAAAATATAGGAAGATAATAGATGGAGTTGCTCTTTTATGGGGTAATAATTTAAATTCCCAGTTTGGCTCTGGGGATCTGGGAATCATTACTGTGTTCGCTGGGCCTCTTTGAAGTTGCTTGTATTTTGAGGCAGTCTAACTGCTCTTTTTAACATCAGGAATTATACACTTCAAAGAAGCTCTGAATTCATTAAACTCTAAGGCTGAATGGCCTGTAGTGTAGAAGAGTTGAGGTTACTTCCAGACCAGCTCTGTGTCTTTGTTAACTGACCTTTATTTGTACTAGACCTGTCAAGTCTTCCTGCTACACTTGAGTTTTGGTGCAGTGATACCTTGCAGTTCATAGATTTCATAGACATTAGGGCTGGAAGGGACCTCAAAGATCATCAAGTCCAGCCCCCTGCCCCAGGGGCAGGAAGTCAGCTAGGGTTAAAGGACCCCAGCAAGATAAGCATCCAAGCGTTTCTTGAATGAGTCCAGAGTAGGTTCCTGCACCACATCTGGAGGGAGTCTATTCCAGGTCCTGGGGGCTCAGACAGTAAAGACATTTTTCTTATGTTCAGCCTAAAATGGTCTTGTAGAAGTTTATGACCGTTGGTCCTTGTTTTTCCTTGGGGCGCTCTGGTGAACAGACGTTCTCCCAGTTCCTGATGAACAACCCTTGTGTACTTATAGGCAGCCACCAGGTCCCCGCTGAGCCTGCGCTTTTCCAGACTGAAGAGTCCCGTGGCTCTCAGCCTCTCTTCATATGGCTTATTCTCTTGCCCAGTGATCATGCGCGTGGCTCTCTTCTGGACTCTCTCAAGCTTCTTGGCATCTTTCTTGAATTGCGGAGCCCAGAACTGGATGCAGTACTTCAGCTGCAGCCTCACCAAGGCTGAGTACAGCAGGAGGATGACATCCTGAGATTTACTTGAGAAGCATCTATAGATGCAAGCCAGGGTTTTGTTTGCTTTACCAGCTGCAAGATTGCATTGGTGGCTCATATTCATCTTGTGATGAATCATGACCCCCAAGTCTCCTTCAGCGGTGGTACTAGCAAGCATAGCACTGCTGAGCCTGTAAGTATGCTGTGGGTTGTTTTCCCCTGAGGTGGAGTACCTTGCATTTATTGGTATTAAACGTCATCAGGTTTGTGTCCGCCCACTTACTAAGCTTATTCAAGTCAGCCTGGATCACTAGCCTGTCGTCAGGTGTGGATGCCATGCCCCAAAGTTTAGTGTCATCAGCAAACTTAGCCAGTGCGCTTCTGACACCAATGTCCACATCGTTGATTAAGGTGTTGAAGAGAACCGGTCCAAGGACAGAGCCTTGGGGGACGCCATTGGTCATGGAGCGCCATAATGATTTGCTACCATCAACCACTACTCTTTGGGTCCAACCTCGGAGCCAGTTTCCCAGCCATCCGACTGTTGTAGCTGAGGCCACAGTTAGCCAATTTTTCCATGAGGAGGTCATGGGACACCAGATCAAAGGCTTTTTTAAAGTCCAAATATATGACGTCAATCTCTTCTCCCTTGTCCAGGTCATATGTCACCTGGTCACAGAAGGAGATGAGATTGGTCAGGCAAGACCTACCTGCGAAAAACCCATGTTGGCTATCCCTCAGGATGTTGCCCTCTGCCAACTTATCCAGAAGGGTCCCCTTGATAATTTTCTCCAGAATCTTACTGGGGATTGAGGTCAGGCCGATTGGCCTGTACTTCCCGGGATCTACTTTCCGCCCCTTCTTGAAGATGGGTACCACATTGGCCTTCTTCCAGTCTTCAGGTACTTCACCTGAGCACCACGAGTTTTTGAATATTTTTGCCAATGGTTGGGCTATGACACCTGCCAGCTCCTTGAGTACTCTAGGGTGTAATCTGTCAGGACCAGCTGACTTGAAGGTATCCAGCCTCTCAAGGTGATCCTTTATTAGGTCAACACTGATGCCAGGTATAAATATGCCCTCACCCTGGCTGTCCCGCATCTTGCTAGGCAGGGTGGTCCCATTGAACTGATGAAAGACCGACGCGAAGTACCCATTAAGCAGATTGGCCTTTTCCTGGGTGTTGGTTATCAGCTGTCCCATATGGTTCAGC